ACCGGGTGCCAGGGGGTGTGAATAGCTCAAGCAATGAAACCACATCTGGTACAGCAGCTGTAATGAGAATCACTGGTTGGCTGAGCTAATAGTAACCCAATGTCATTCACTGAGCTCCATCTACTGTCTTTCTAGGCCAAAGAAACAAGCTGAATGGGGATGTGGCAGGAATCACTAACTTTGCACTTTCCAAGTCCTTGATGGTGGCATTTATCTCTGCAACCTCTCCAGGAAGGCAATGTTGCTTCTGGTTTACTATTTTCCCAGGCAGAGGCAGTTCTAGTGGCTTCTATTTGGCCTTTACCACCATTAACAGTTCTCCTTCCACAGGTCAGGAAAGAAGATGGGAATTCTGCTAGCTGCTCAGTGTATCTGCCAATTATGTACCCAGAACTGGGAAAAACACCACAGGATGGGTTTGAGAGTCTGCTGGGCCCACTGAGAGCGGGACCTGAGCTAAAAGTCTATTCATCACGTGACTCCACAAGCTCCTTCTCTAATGGATGGCCATAGAGATGTTCTGGGTTTCCCAGAATTAGCATCAATTCAGAGCCAGTGTCCAGTAGTCCCTGCAAAGTCTGGTTATTTCCATTTCTCTAAGGCATAGTTACCCTGGGAAAAGGCGACAGACCCCTTTTGGGAGGAGGCTGGGAGAAGGGTCAACAGCATAAATACTTGGCAATATATGGGGGTCCTTCCTCAAGGGGACCCCACCCCCTCTTTATTCAAGGGGTTTGGGCCTATCCACTGGCTCAAGTCTGAGAACTGACTGAGGGGCCATGGCTTGTTTTTATGATTAAAGTTACATTTTTGTTCACTTGATCTAAAACTTTTCTGCTTATACAGGTAAGTGAGAATTTACTAGTCTTCCTACCTCTTTTACTTCTAGGGGCACCATGATCAACTAGCAAATGCCACAGGGCTGCACAAGTCAGACAACTCCGATTGCTGCCTTGGCTCTGACGTCCGTGACAGTAACCACACTCATCTGGCCTTTGGCTGTGGACTGCTACCCTTGACCCCTGCCATCCTGAAATCTAATGACTTCCAGTACACTTAGGTTTCCCAGTTTAGTTACCAGAGCTCCTACTGTCGAGTCTGGCCCACAGAGAAGAGCCATCACAGAGCCCTTCAAGGATGCCAGGGTTCCCCTTACAAATTTATTTCTCACACTCATGGTAAGAAGTACGTCTTCTGGACACGTAGAACTAACCATTGTATTACCTGAAGTGACCTCTCCCTGAATTTAACTAGCAAGCAGAAAATAACAAGATGCAATTATAAACATTAATCTGTTGGGAGGAAAGAGATAACAGAACATTTCATAGAATCCCTTTAACTTGGAAGAGATTTCAAGTTGTCAGATGCCAGGTACCCAGAATAACAAAGCGTCAGACCTACGCTACATACCCAGAGCTATCGCCCTCCCCTGCTGCCACAAAAACCATCCTGTAATCATTTAGCTTGGACTATTCATGGAATACTTGAGTACTGTCCCTATCTGTACCTCCAACCGCAAAATTACAAGGCTCTAAGTCACCTGATGCGTGAATTTTTGCCTGAAAGTATGTTTCTTTTCAACCTTAGCTTTTAGAGCTGTATGAATTTGAGTTCCTCTCTGTTTCAATTAAACATTAAAATATATACACATATATTTTATATATCTATAAATAAATATAATACTATATAATAATTAAATAATAATATAATTAATAATTAATAATTAATTAATATTATAAATAATATATTTTATATATATACACATACACATATACACATGTATATACGCATGTACACATAGTAAGCATATTTTATAAGAAAGGTGTTTCTCGGGGCGCCTGGGTGGCTCAGTGGGTTAAGCCGCTGCCTTCGGCTCGGGTCATGATCTCAGGGTCCTGGGATCGAGTCCCACATCGGGCTCTCTGCTCAGCGGGGAGCCTGCTTCCCTCTCTCTCTCTCTCTCTCTGCCTGCCTCTCTGTCTACTTGTGATCTCTCTCTGTCAAATAAATTAAAAAAAAAAAAAAAAAAAGGTGTTTCTCACCCCTTCTCTATGTTAGTCCTCCTATTCACACATTTTTCTTCTCCTGATTACAAATAGATCAATTTTTATATATTATTTTCTAATTTTAATGAGTAGAGGTCTACTCCTAATCTTTCTTTCTTTATTTATCAGAGAGAGAGAGAGAGAAAGCATGAGCACAAATACGGGGAGCAGCAGGTAGAAGGAGAAGCAGGCTCCCCGCTGAGCAGGAACCGGATATGGGACTCAATCCTAGGACCCAGGGATCATGTCCTGAGCTCAGGGGCTGAGCCAAAGGCAGATGCTAAACTGACCCAGTCATCCAGGTGTCCCTCCTAGTCTTTAGAGTAAAATATTTAAAGTTTCCCTTCCTTAAAAAAATAGTCCTTTAGATTTTTTTTTTTTAATTAAAAAAGTTTTTTTTTATTTTTTAAGTAGGCTCCATGCCCAGTTTGTACTGCCCAATGCAGGGCTTGAACTCACAACCCTGAGATCAAGACCTGAGCTGAGACTGAGAGTCGGATGCTCAACCAACCCAGCCATCTAGTGTGTCTCCTGCTCTTTTTACTTCTTAAAGTACCTTTATTTTATTTTGCCACTAAGCCAGTCTATCTAAAAGAAAGGTCTCCCAACCACTGTCTAGGGATTGTTCAGGCTGCTCTGCGTCCCTGGAACCAAATCACTCTTCCTGTTATTACTGAGCTCATCCTTCATTCTTAAAAGCTGGATTCAAAATATCTGAGAGAGGTCACTGCTGACATTTGCCACCATTCTCTCTTTCATAATGCTGTATTTCTAAAGACTTTTTTTTTTTTTTTTAAGTAAGCTCCACACCCAAAGTGGGGCTCAAACCTACAGCCCCAAGATGAAGAGTCACATTCTCCATCAGCTGGGCCAGCCAGATGTCCCAAAATGCTGCTGTTCCTGAAAGCTTCCTGAAAGTTGAAACTCTCCCATCTCTAGCTTCCATAATATTATACTGTACTCGTCCTTTTCCTGCTTATCTCAATCCTCTCTTTCTTTTGCCAAGAGTCAATCTTTCTCAATGTGGCCATTACATAGGATTTGGCACCCTGAATATTCCCTCTTCCTAGCCTCTCCCTCACATAATCTCTGTGTCAGATACCACCTTTGTGCTAAGGGCTACTGAATCTCTCTCATTCATTCTGTTCTCTCACCAAAGCTCTGCTGACACAACTTCAGCATTTACTGAATATTTCTAAATGGGTGTTCACAATAACCACAGAGTTAGTCATTCAAAAACAACTTATCATTTTTCTTCCCGTATGGGCTCTGCTCTCCAACTTGAACGAATATCAGTCTTTCTGGCTAGGAAGATCAGGATCCCCGTGGCTCATCTTGTTTGCGTTAGAACAGACTACTAGGATGTAGTGTGGTTCTGGATCTGACAAACCTAAGTTCAATCCCAGGACTGCCATTATGTACTGTGTGGTCTTGGATCAGTCACTTATTCTCTAAACCCAGCTCCTCATCTGTAAAATGGGACTGATACTACCTATCTCACAGGGCCGTGAGGATCAGATCACCTACACTGTATGCAGGACACAGGAGCAAGCGCTGGCCCGTCTTTTGTCCGCTCTTCCTGTGAAGGTCTGCCAAGGTCTATGCCAGGTCTAAGTCTTAGTCACACCTGAATTGCTCTAGCAACCGCTCTGCACTTTGCCTTAAATCGAACCTCTTGGTCCATCCCACACAATGCTATCTAATAATCTCCCTAAGATATGTATTTACCAAATCATGTGCCTTTTTTTTTTTTTAAGATTTATTTATTTATTTATTTGAGAGTGAGCAAGGGAGCAGGACGTGGGAAAGCAGAGAGAGAGAGAGTCTGAAGCAGACTCCACACTGAGCACAGAGCTGGACATGGAGCTCAAGCTCACAACCCTGAGGTCATGACCTGAGCTGAAACCAAGAGCTGGAGGCTTAACCGACGGCAGCAACCAGTTGCCCCCAGATCATACGCTTACTGATAAAATTTTCAACAGGTTGTTACTCTCTAACAATCAAGGCCTGTTCTGCTTTTGAGGCTGTTCAAACTCTACCCCCTGGAACTCATTTCCTATGTCTTCACATACTCTGGTTTCTCTTCTGATCATATGTATCTTTCACCTTTACTATGTCTTCCTGTCACAGATATGCTCTGGGTAGACTAGCTTCCTAACATTGCCCTACACACACCAAGATCTTTCCCACCACCATGCGGTTGCTCTGGTTTTTTCTTCCCTCTTCTCTCAATTCCCTCTCCTTGACCAGTCACCATATTTAAAACCTGTACCAAGGGATGCCTGGGTGGCTCAATTGGTTAAGCATCTGCCTTTGGCTCAGGTTGTAATCTCAGGGTCCTGGGATCAAGTCCTACATCAGGCTCTCTGCTCAGTGGGGAGCCTGCTTCTTCCTCTCCCTCTGACTGCTGCTCTCCCTGCTTGTACTCTGTCAACTAATACATAAAATCTTTAAAAAGATAAAAAATAAAAAAATACCAAGCACAACTTACTTATTCTAGATACTAGCTTTCATTTTTCTCTATTGTTTAACTTACTTTAATCCCCTTTCCCTACTTTATTATTGGGTATCAATATATAAGCAAGAAGAAACAAACTTTCATATGGCTTAAAAGAATGAGGAACAAAGATACTATCAGATGTTCAGATTTAACATAACTAAGTATTTAAAAGTTTAAGGACTTGAGGTGCGTAGGTGACTCACTTTAGTGTCCAACTCTTGGTTTCAGCTCAGATCATGATACCAAGTTCCTGGGATGGTGTCCCACATTGGGCTACCTGTGTAGCGGGGAGTTTGCTTCTCCCTCTGCCTGCCCCCAACTCATGTGTGCTCTCTCTCTTGCAAAAATAGATAAATAGAATCTTTTAAAAAAATAGGACAACATAGTTCTAATCAAGATCAGAGATAAAATAATTCTCAGCATCATCTATGGACTAAACCCTCAAATATCCCTACCATAATCAGCTGGTGTATAATTCAGGAGTTCAAATTTCCAGTTTTTATAGCTTGAATAATTCTGGTACATATCAAATATTTCACGAGTAAACTGTTGGCAGATATCACCTAAAAAAAATACAAAAAATATTCAGTCAGCACAGATTGTTTTAAAGAGAGCCATTCTTAGGTACAGGCCCCCTGGGAAACAAGGAGTAACTGTTTCCATAGTGAAACACATCTACTGGACTGTTAAAGTTCTACAGTATCAAACCAAGGTAAAATTTAAGTGTTTTTTAAGATCACTTACAATAAAATTATTTAACTGACCTCCAGTAGTTCTTCCAGATGTCACCTCTAAAATAACGTCATTTTTGTCATATTTCTCCTTTGGCACTAGACTCTGGAAAAGCTGAAAAAGGAAAAAAAGATCAGCATTTGTATGTATATTTTCCATGATTATACTATTGCTTGATTTTAGACAAAAGACCTACAAACATTAAAAAAAAGTCACTGATTAAGAAAATTATATAGTATCCCAATGAGGTCTAGTCATTAAATGCTACAATAAGTAGACTGCATTAGACCTAAAATAAGTGATCAATTCATGCTAACAATGGAGTTACTTGTCAGGGTATTCTCCACAATGCTATCAGATTATCTTAATTTTCTAAAATGCCCAAGTTTCGATCGAGATTTTGCCTCTTATTAGCTCTAAACAGCAGCTTCTTTCATCTAATGAATGATGTGAAGCTTTGAAAAGTCTTCACTTGGAGAAAATGAGGCCTCTTTACACATGATTGTGTATTTTCTCCTGCCACAGATGACAGCTGGCCCCAGGTCGTGCCCTCTGTTCTCAGTAGAGCTGTTCTGCTTAGAGAATATATTGAGGACTCCCAGGATAAGGCTGAAATAGTTTCTGACTGTGACAAGAAAACAAGGGGCTTCCTAATAAAGTAACTAGCTTCCTTCTAAAGAAGAAAAGGGATGCAATTTTATTTTTTATTTATTAGTGAAAAAATTTTCAAATCAAACTACCTACAGGCCATGACTCTCTCTACTGCCAATTTTTGAAATACTCCATCTCTGTTAGAAATGGTAATCTGTGAGAGGGAATATCAGACCAAAAGTGACAGCCTTTCTGCCTTTGACTTGCTGGTTAAATCAGTGATAACAGTAACTGATACCTATACCTCATTCCCCTCAATGAGCCCCTCTATGGAGTTCCAGAGTAGGGGGACCGTAGGCAGGACAAGGGCAAACAGGACAGAAGGGAAGGAAGAAACTACAGATGATCTACAGCCCTGTAGTTTTCATTGTCTTTTAGACAAATCATCCATTGAACTACAAGGAGCTAAAGACTTGGTATGAACCAACTGTGTCTGTACCTTTGGATTCACTCCACTCTATACAGAAAGCAAATTTTCGATCCTTAATTAACACAATCACTATGTACCACTCCCCTTTTCTAAGGCTTAAAAACCCGATTCTTCCTCTTGGTGAACTAAGTTTCTTTACCAGCATCTGCCGCCTTGGCTGGCAAGTTAACAGCTTTGGAACATAATTGCTCGTGGAGGTGAGGGGGGGAGATGATGTTTTATTCTCTGGCATCCCAATTGGTTCAACCTCATTCTGTAGCAAATTACAGTACTAAACCCAGCTTACTCATTCACCATAACAGAAGGTTTAATAAACTGGTGTTTGGAAAGTACTTTGAACACCAAAGTACAGCCTCGTAAAACAGTATTCTTTTATAGTAACACAATTGAGGAGTTTACCTCCTAAAACATACCTCACTGTATAACATATGGATTTTTTGAGCGATGGTTTCCCTCTCTTCCAATGCGAGTTCTTGTAACTGCTTTTCATCTTGTTTATTTAGACCTACAAACCATCAACAAAAATTATGTTTTTAGATACAGGAAAACTCTTAAATAGCTAGCTAATTTCTGTTTATAAATTTTATTTCAGTTGTGAAGGAGGGATTATACAAAAGGTCAGAATAGTTGGAGAATATTAATTAATTAATAAGCACTTGTGAAGCACGTCTAAAAAAACTCAGTGTGTAAGGAAGTATGATCATTGCCTAAAAGTTTATGATTTGAATGTCTAAAACTAAATACAGAAATCAATGATTAATAAAACAAGTCTGAAAAAGGAATGGTTAATTAAATATAGACCCAAATAAGGTAAGTTTTGGAGTAAACTGGAGTGACCACATCTTGTCTTAAAAGTAACAGCCACTACTCAGCACACCGTGGTGTAATCTGGGAGGGCTGAAGCCTCCATTTTCTTCCCCCCAAAGTCAGAAATAAGAACTCTTAGAATTTTGAAATCTCCTGAAATGTTTATACCTAGTGAACACTTTTTAAAAGCACCATGTAAGTCAAATGAAACATCTTTGTAACTTCTGTTTTATGGAAACAATTGTCCTTTTCACATCATTTCAAGAGAGAAAGTTAAATCCCAGAACTCCCAACAAAAAAGCTAACAATGAGAAATAGTAGATCTTACAACCTTTGACTCCATTGCTCTGGATACCTAGACTTCATTTGTTAGTGGTGATGCTTGCCAGCTGATGTAGAAATGTTTGATTCTTAATAGCAAAGAAGAAAATAGAAATGAAAAGTCCTAATTATAAAACAGAGAAGGCTCTTGAAACTTCTTCCCTGGTCATGGAAGTCATTAACACCTGGTGGGACTCTATTCCTCATTCATACCTTCAACATCTAACACTTATTATGCACCAGATACTCTGCTAGTTGCTGGGGACACAGGGATGAATAAAATGTGGTTCCAGGCCTTAAGTCTCTCAGTCTGGTGGGAAATAGGACATGTACACATGAGTACAGTATGGGATAGGACAGTGCCATGGAGGGACAAAGGAGGGGGTCTAACCCAGACCTTAGCACTTGAGGAAGGCTTCCTGGATAGATGTCCTCTGAACTAAATTCTAATTACGGATCATCTGTTGCAGAATTGTAATATCACTAGTGGCCCCATATCATGTACTTACGCCACAAATGGACACTAGGCTGACATTACTCCGTATAGGTACCTACTGTGTCAAAGATATCAGAAAAACCTGATATGCAGTCACATAAAATTATTTTTGTGGCCTCTTATTATTTTCTGATGTCGGAAATCTAACCTAATTCAGTTTCATTATATCAAGAAAGATTTGAGAGTCTATTATATCCTATGTTCAGTGTTGCAGGAAATATAAAAATGAGTAAGACACAGGCTCTGTCTTTGAGAAACAGATAACAAGGGAAGGGGCAGAAATTAAGACAATTACATAAAGGATCAAAATTCAAAACAGAGAAAGATAACATTTTTGTTTTATAGAGGGGACTGAAGCCAAAGTATGATACCCAAGCCATACTTTTAAGTGAAATGAATTTTAACAAGGTAAAATTGGTGGGTAACAATTTGTGCAAAGACAGAAGTGGGATGATGTGTATATTCAGGGAACAGCAAGTTATCTATTTTTCTTGGAAGGTTTGCATATGCAAAGGGAATTAATACACTATACAGAGAGGCTGGTGTCAGTTTTCAGAAGCTCCTTTTTTTTTTTAAGATTTTTTTTTTTTAATTTATGAGAGAGAGAGACAGCACAAGTGGGGTTTGGAGAGGGGCACCAGGGAGAGAGCAAACCAGACTCCATCCCAGGACCCTGGGATCATGATCTGATCTGAAGGCAGATGCTTAACTGACTGAGCCACCCACGGGCCCTTCTGCAAAGGCTCTTAAATACCAAATCAAGAAATTTATATTTATAGGCAACAGGAGCTACTGAAAATTTTGAGCAGGGGAGTAATCTGATTAAGGTTGTACTTGGACTGGGAAAGCCTGGAAGTGGCACAAAAAGTTAGGAATGTATTGTAATTATCCAGGATGAGCTATAATAAAGATATAAATTAGCAGAAAGAATAGAAGGGGACTAAGGGTACACTATAGAGGCAGAGGCAGACTCTATTGGAACTGGACTCATGCAGTGATAAGACAGGCTGTGGAATCTCACTGAGTCCAAATCCTTGCTCCTTGCCTGATTGGCTGAGTGACCTCTGACATTTTAAGCTCTCAGTTTCTTCATCTATAAAATGGGGACATTAATAATAATTCCTATCTCATAAATTATAAATACTCAAATGAGATAATATTTATAAAATACTTAGCTTAGTGTCTGGCACATGGTAGGACAGTAAATGTCACTTTTATCACTGTTATTACAGAATAGCAGGACTTTAGACCTAGGAGAGACTTTGGAAACAATCCAATCCAATCTCAATAATACTGGTGATACAATGTATACACCATTGTATAATGGTGATACAATCAAGGCTGAAAGAGATTATGTCAATTCAATTTAGAAGCATTTAGTAAAATCCTATTATATGCAAAGAACCTTCCCCAAACTAATGGATTACAAATTTGAGTGGCATAATGCAAAGAGTAAAAAAAAAAAAAAGAAATCCTCATAAACATAGTGAGAGACTCATGGTACCACCAACAGACGACAGAAAATACAGGACTTTACAGTTATAACTGTGACTGGCCTTGACATCGTTTAACATCTCTAACACTTAATGGAACAGGATGGAGCACAGAAGTTTAGAAACTAAAAGCCTGTAGTACTATCTGGATAAATGTTGAATCCCAGGTTAGTCCACTGCGCCTTTCTCTCAACTTCAGTACATTTTGATAATTTTCATATGAGAAAAAATGTTAAGGCAATAAGCAATATTAAGAAATACCAAAACTAAAAATAAACATCTCTCACATAGATCAAAGAATTAAATGTAAAGTTAAAAAATTGAACTCTCAGAAGAAAACACAGATGTACTCTTTGTAACCTTGGGTTACACAACAATTTCTTAGCTATGACACCAAAACCACAAGCAACAAGAGAAAAAAAGATAAATTTGACATCATCAAAATTTAAAAATTGTGCGGCTTAGAGGCGCCTGGGTGGCTCAGTCAGTTAATCGTCTGCCTTCCGCTTGGGTCATGATCCCAGGGTCCTAGGATAGAGCCCCGCATCAGGCTCCCTGCTTGGCGGGAAGTCTGCCTCTCCCCCTCCCACTCCCTCTGCTTGTGTTCCCTCTCTCACTGTCTCTCTGTGTCAAATAAGTGGATAGGATCTTTAAAAAAAAAAAAAAAATTATGCTGCTTCAAAAGATAACCCATAGAATAGAAAAAAACTTTTGCATATCATATATCTGATAAGGAATTTGTGGCTATAATATAAAGAAGTCTCACAATTCAATAAAAGGACAAATAACTCATTTTAAAAATGAACGAAGGATCTGAACAGTCATTTATCCAAAGATGAGATACAAAAGGCCAACAGCCATGTGAGAAGATGTTCAACATCATTAATCAGGGAAATGCAAATCAAAGCCACAATCAGGTATCATTATACCCACTAGGATGGCTAGAATCAAAAGTGTGGGGTAAAAATAGTGCAGCCACTTTGGAAAACAGTCTGGTAACTTCTCAAAAGGTTGAATGCAGAGTTATGATAGGCAATTGTAGCGCCACTGTTCATTACAACCCACAAGTGGAAACAACTCAATATCCAGTAAGTGATGAATGGATAAATAAAAATAAAATGTGGTAGATCCATACAATGGAAAGCAGTTCCACAATAAAAAGACATTAAGTACAAATACATGCTACAACATAGATGAAACTTGAAAATATTATGCTAAATGAAAGAAGCCAGTCACAAATGACATGTTATATGACTCCACTTACATACAATGCCTGAAATAAGGAAATCTAGAAAATAAATGAGCTCTTGCCTTGGGTTGGCAGGGAAAGGGGAATTGGGGCAAGTGGCCACAAGGTGCAGGGTTCTTTCTGGGATGATGAAATAACACCTGGACCCTACAAGCCCTTTGCTGGGGTAGAAACTGCATTTTTGTGTCTCTGCTACATACGCAGGACAGTGCTCAGGAAAGGCCTGCTCAATAAATTAAAGCTTCTGTAAAGGTTAATATTCAGTCGCCTAGACGCTAAAAACTTCTTGGTAAGCACCACGAGGAGCTCAGTCTTTTAACAGTTGATTTTTAGTAGCCAAAATACATCAAACACATAGAGTAGAATCCTGTCTTCTCCAAGTACAGAGTACAACCATTCGAGCCTTTTTAAAAGATTGTGTTCAATAAAGGTTTAACCTATAAAATCAATCACATTGTTTACACACACATATTTTTTACCTACTTTTACACATTGAATCTAATTCTTCAATTGCTTGCTCAGCCTCCTGAATTTCTTGGTAAATGGCTGCAAGTGGCGCCAACTGAGCATGCCTTCGACTCAGGGACTTCCGGTCCCCTTCATTCACAGACATACGCTGCAAACAGTCGTCAAGCGTCCTGTACTCCTCATTCAGGTCCTCCATATATTTCTGTAGTGCTTTATGCTTCCACAGCATCTTCGACTGATGACAGTATCTCCTGGGACAATTCTTATTTAACAGATGGTGGAGAATGGGATTCCTGCTTTGTCTAAAAATCCACAGCCTTGTATCAAGATGGATCTGCGTAAACTGATGAGATTGGGGATGGAGGTGGTACTGGAGGGGACCATTAAGAGATGAATGTCTAAAAAGCCAAGCACACAGGTGACGATTCATCTCAGCATCTGAAATATAATAGACACAATCTGAAAAAAAAAATCAGCTCTACAAATACAAAAGCTGGAAGGAGCCTCAAGAAATCTTGTTCAGTTTATGGGCACAGACAACTCCAAGCACACTCTGAAAATTCAGTAACCAATAAAAGGAAAATAATTCTTCATACCTCTGAATAGAACATATTAAAATAAATGAAGAGAACACAGTTTTCTATTCACTCAATGTATATAATTAATGATGGCAAATGAGTAGGAGCATAATTAATAAATACATCAACAGACTGGGTTAAATCAGCTACTTTCTAGGAGGTATCCAGGATCTGGAATTAAGTATGTGAACAAGCACTTGAAAGGTATGAAATAATCATGCAAGTTTTAGGTGATTCACATATACAAAGATTTCTAAAGCTCGAAGGAAATATTAACTGTTTTCTTGTCTAATTCTTTAATTTTAGGTATCCAGATGTCCAAGGAAATCAAGTAACTTAATCATGATTATTTACTTAGCCAGACAGAGGCAGAGTTCATACTAGAATGCGGTCTGCCTGTTCAGAGCTCAGTGTTTTCCATTTTCAATTCTGCAATCGGGTGCTTCCCTTTCAGCTAAGATCCTAAAGGAGGAAAACTTCAGATATTAACTGATAAAGAAAGTAGGACTGGTAAGAAGGGACAGTGGCAATATTTGTATTAAGTGAAAAAAGCAGAATGGAAAACAATATAATCTTAATTAGGTTTTCAAAATTTTCTATGATATATGATATACAAGGAAAGTAAGTAAACAGAATTTTTTTGGGGGGGGGTAAGAAAAACCTAAAAAAGAAACATACCAAAATGTTAAAAAGATGATCTCTAGTTGTGGATACCTTTTGCTTGCTTTCTGTTTTTTCTACGTTTCAGAGTTTTAAATTTTTCTATACACACAGCATGCATTACTGTCACAATCAGGAAAAAATAGTTACTTTAAAAAATTACAACTTAGGTGAAACCGGCTGTGTACACTAATTTCCTGCTCTTCACCTAATAGACATTTCTAAAATTCCGAGGTTCCAAGTTGAAATGAGGGTCAAAATTTTATTACAATCAACCTTTATTGTCTCCAGTGTTCCTACTATGCTAGGAGGTGCATTCATGTATCAACTCATTTGATCATTATAAATCAGCTAACTTGAATATCATAATCTCCTATAAACTAAAATATTCAGAGTGGTCTCCCAAACATTCAGATTTTGCAGGATTCTGCTAATGAGCTTTAATATCTGAAGCACATTTGGAAAAAGACTGTGGAAGAATGCGCCAATGCCCGGCAGCCACACGTCACAGTCCTTCAGCAGAAGTTCCCGTGTCTTTACATCTAGTCTCAAGCCGATCAGAGAAGTGTGTCCATTTGAAAAAACGGACAAAAGGATGACAAATTTTTGTTACAACACTTTTAGCTAAAATGTCCACCCTCGAAACAGCATAATGAGTAACTCTTAAGGTCTTGAACCTCAATGTTAAGAGAGAACACCCCTCCCCCCTTAAACCAAGACGTTTACTCGCTAGGGTTACCTATGCCTGAGCACGGCCAGTCCCTCCATCACCCACCCCAGGAGCAGCATTACTCGAGTACTCTAGGAACAATTCTCACAGTCGGCAGTCAGAAGTGACACTAAGCCTGTGCCAGAACAACACGTGTAAGCCACACTTTGTCACTCAGTATAAGGAGTGATCCTATCGAGACAACATGGTGGGGGAGGAGGTGGAAAAATACTTTTTGAGATCAAAAAAGAGAAAAAAAATAATTGTGAGTACCTAAGAAAAGGAAGAAAGGACGACAGCTTTCCTTTCTGAAGCCGGAACCTTCTGTGACCTGCTACATTTCAGCCCGACAAACACTGACTCACTTTCACATCCGGTCACTCCTTCCGGGTTAACGCTTGCTCTCAGCTTCTTTTGAACAGTCGTCCTTGGGCGTGCGTAACAGCTAACAGGGGAAACCCGAGAGAAAAATGACAAATCGAGAAAGAAAAATAAGTAAAAAGACAAGGCAATAAAGAAAATCCCAAGAGATGACTACGGGCGGTACTCATCCGGAGCCGGAGCCCAGGGCGCGGGTTCCCACAAGATAGGTAGGGTGGGCGGTAGCGGAAAGTAGAATGAACTACAACTTCCGGGAGCTCCTCCCGGGGAATCCTGGGAGTTGTATTTTGTGCACAGGCTGGCCGCCAAGCTCTGGGACAAAATCGGGCTTCTGGTTTCACAGAGGCAAGCACAGGAGAGAGATCTCTACAATTCTGATTAGGAGATCAAGATTTACAATATATTAATAGGAAATCACAAGAATTTTTTTATATGTGGAAATTATATAACGGAGCCACTAAAGCAGTGGAGTTTTGGTTTTGGTTTTGGTTTTTTTTTTTTTTTTTTAATTTTTGTTTTGTTTTTAAAGCAGTGGTTCTTTAATTTTTATTTATTTATTTTTTGAGGACTCCCGTTTCATCATCCCCAGATTTAGGGATTCTACATGGTTTTTTTTTTCGTTTTTGTTTTTGTTTCTTTTTCTTTTTCTATTTTTACCCTTTATAGGATTCTGCAGGTTAGTAGTTGTACTTTCAGCTTCCACTGTTCTAGAAAATACCTAATAACTAAAGGAGGATATAAACTTATATTTCTAAAAATCACAACAGGATCCAAAAGATAGGAGACTATATATATTCACAAATTAATGGCTTTATAGGTGTTGCATGCATATATTGAATGTAGGGGCTCAAACTAGGTTCATAGGTTGTAAGCTACTAATTAAATAATTATAAAAATCCAACTAACAAACAGTTCCAGGAAAATGCAAACATACTGCCTTACTTTGAATACCACAAGTCACATCACTGCCGTGTCTCAATATTTCTTCATCAAAAACCAAGGCAAACATCATCCCATATAACTGACTTCATAGGATATTTTCTTAGGTTGTGACTGCATATAAAAGGAACAATTAACTCTAAATGTAAATACCTAACATTACCCTACTTCAGGGTACTTACTTTTACCTAGGATATATTAAATCCTATATCAAATGGTTTAAACCTATTAATTACTTTAATCCTTACTACAACAACCCTAAAATACCCATTTTGTAGAAGAGAAAACTGAGGCACAGAGAGCTTAAGTAACTTGTCCAGGTAAAAGAACTGGTAAGTAATAGAACTGAGATTCAATCAAGGCAGTCTGTGCTAATGTTCTGTGGCTCCCAAGCTCTGTACTCCCTCTCTTCTCCCCCTCCCACAAAAAAAAAGAAGAAAGAAAGAAAAAGAAAAGAAAAGAAATAAAGAAAACATTCCATTGTTCATTCAACAATGAGTGTTCTGGACATGAGAATTTAGCAATGAAAAGAAAAGACACAAATATTTGCTCACATGGAGTTTATGTTCCAGTAAGGAACAAATTCCAAAGGATCCATAAAAATCATTCTCCTGAATTATCCAATGAAATCATTTAATTCTTTATTTTGATTTGTGTATGCAGATATATAACTTAAGTAATATAGTATATAAAGCTTTATTCTCCTTTAAAAATAACCTTACTGCTATGGACTGAATTGTGGGCCCCCCCCCAATTTAAGATGTTGAAGGTAACCCCCAGTGTGACTGCATGGGGGACAGGGCAGTTAAATGAGTTAAAGTTAAATGAGCCATACAGGTGAAGACCTGATCTGGTGATACTTGTGCCCTTATAAGAGATATCAGAGAGCTTGTGAGTGCAAGCTCTCTCTTCTCTCTTTTTCTCCAAGACAGGCCTCAGGGTGAAACACACCTTGCTGACACCTTGATCTTGGACTTCCCAGCCTCCCAGCCTCCCAAAGTGTTATTTTATTATGGCAGCCCAAGCACCTAACATTTATGTATGTAAAAATTTATGGAGATATACATGAAACTTTATGATATACATGAAACTTCACATATTTTATTTCTCAATTTAAAAAAAAAGTCCCTAATGGGATGTCTGCCTGGGTGGCTCAGTTGGTTAAGGGTCTGCCTTTGGCTCGGGTGGTGATCCCGGTGTCCTGGGATTGAGTCCTGTGCTGGGCTCCTTGCTCAGGAGGGAGCCTGCTTCTTCCTCTGCCTGCTGGTTTCCCTGTTTGTGGTCTCTCTGACAAATAAATAAAATCCTTTAAAAAAAAATCCCTAAAGACATTTATGCTTGGTACTATACATACTCCTTCCTCCTTCATGCTTTTTAAAAAAGAATATAATATGGTATATCTGTATTTATGAATATGCAATGATGTCCACAATTCATCATTAAATGAAAGACATTGTTTCAAAAACAACAACACAGCAAACAAACAAAAAAATAAGATGGGAGGCAGTGGGGGTGGGGGTACAAAACAAAAACAAAAACAAAAACAAAAACAAAAACCAACAACAACTCAGCAAACTGAGTTCCATTTAGAAACATGTGATGCATGGGAGACCTGAGTGGCTGAGTTGGCAAAGCATCTGATTTTTGTTCTCAGTTTAGGTCTTGACCTCAGGGTCATGAGTTGAAGCCTCATACTGGGCTCCATGCTGGGTGTGGAGACTATATAAAAACAAAAACAAAAACAAAAATATGTGAAGCATACATATTTAAAAGTCCAGTGGAATTACAGGTAATCCTTATTTTCTTCTTCTTTTTTTTTTTTATTTTATTTATTCAACAGAGAGAGATCACAAGTAGGCAGAGAGGCAGGCAGAGAGAGAGAGGAGGAAGCAGGCTCCCCACCAAGGAGAGAGCCTGATGCGGGGCTAGATCCCAGGACCTGGGGATCATGACTTGAGCCAAAGGCAGAGGCTTTAACCCTCTGAGCCACCCAGGCGCCCCCCCCCCCCTTATTTTCTTCTTTGTAGTAGTCTGGATTTCCTGAAGTTTTGTGATGAGTATTATTGTAAAAAAGACAGTTATAAAAGGAAAAAAAAGATTTTATTTATTTATTTGAGAGAGAGAGAGAGAGAGTACAAGGGGGGTGGGGGGAGAGCAGGAGAAAGACAAGCAGACTCCCCACTGGGCATGAGCCCAACACAGGGCTCCAATTCACTGACCCTGAGATCATGACCTGAGCCAAAATCAAGAGTCAGATGCTCAACGGACTGAGCCACCCAGGCACCCCCAAAAGGACATTCTTTAATGTTTGTTTGAAAAAGCCTTATGTGGGGTGCCTGGGTGGCTCAGTGCGTTAAAGCCTCTGCCTTTGGCTCAGGTCATGATCCCAGGATCCTGGGATTGAGGCCCGCATCGGGCTCTCTGCTCTGCAGGGAGCCTGCCTCCCCACCCCCCTGCCTGCCTCTCTGCCTACTTGTGATCTCTGTCTGTAAAATAAGTAAGTAAAATCTTTTTTTAAAAAAAAGCCTTATATGAGTTTTTATTATTGAATCATTTTATGAAGCTAACTTCTACTTCCAAAGAGTCTGATACATTACACGAAACATTCTTCTAGAGGTAGTAATAAAAAGGTTGATTCCGTGAAAGTTACAGCATTCGATCAAATTAGCGCCAAGAGCTCCTCTGTCTGAGATACTTCTCACAATAAAGTTGATCTCATAAACCTTTCTATTATGAAAGTATGTGTAATGGGCACCGACAGTTCGGTATTCCTTTAGAAACGAAATGACCTGGGTCCCTTTCCTCTGCCTTGGAGCTAACAACAAAATACTTGCAGCTGTTTTTCAGATTCACTTACAGCAAACTTAGCCCAAAGTCCAAAGGGGTGGAGGATGGGGATTTTGACTTTGCTTCTTCTCAGCGACTTCCGGATCATTTCAAAGAGGCTGAGGATACCCTTGTGTCCTTGTGCCCATGACCGGAAGGTTGACTTGCGTCCTGCTGCGGGGATTCCCCATCAGAAAGCGCCCACTTAGGGCTTACCCTGAGAGAAGCAGAGCACCACAGCTTCCTCAGCCCTGGACGCTCTTCAGGGAGCCGGACCAGGGTGGCTGGAGAGATTGTTCTGATTGTTCGGTCCCACCTGGGAAACTTTCAGAGGCACTGAAACCAGCATGAAACCCCAGGATGCAAGCCATAAAACACAATGGGTCAGAGCACCCCGTGCAATGCGCCTTGGCTTTCGGTTCACCGGAGTTTAGGGTCTTCGTCACATCCTGAGGCATCCCACAGTGTGAAGGTTGGCGGCCACTTGGGATTCTATCAGCTATATTTCATCACAGGAAAAAGTGGAACTAGGAATTTGACAATTTAATACAAAATTCAAGCCCTCGCTAAGGTGGAAAAAAAACAGCAAAACAAAGATGATTCTACTTGTATTCTTTTTTTTTTATTTTATTTAAGATTTTATTTATTCATTTGACAGAGATCACAAGTAGGCAGAGAGGCAGGCAGAGAGAGGGGGAAGCAGATTCTACTTGTATTCTTGTAAAGTATTTCCCCTGAGAGAAGCAGAGTACCAAGTATGAAAAGGCAGAGTTTGTTCTTTTCATATATTCATACCGGTTCTCAAATTTTTCTTAGCTTGGGGGGGGGGGGGGGGGGAAATGCAAAAAATGCGCCACCTGCTGGCGTTACGGAAACTAGAGCACTCATTATTTTCAGAGAGTGTGACAGAAGTCAACTTACTCTTTTTTTTTTTTTAAATAAAAAAAAAAAAAAAGAGAGAGAGAGAGAAAAAGAAAAATAGCAAAGGCAGGTCAAAGACAAACTGATCCTGAAAACTCCTTTTATTCGACCCCAACTGGTCGCAGCCTAGGCTGAAGTCAGCTTTGACAAGCTCTCCTAAGTCTCCTCAGTGATTTCATCTCTTCCATAGATCATCCTAAATTTCAGGCTAAATATTTTTCTTTAATCATTTACTTTGGTTTCAAATTGCATATTTTCAAATCTTTGTTTCAGTAAATTTTATCTTCACATCTTTTGCTCCTGACAGTAGTATGTGAATACCCTTTATAAGCATCAAAGTTATTTTCTTTTTCTTTTTTTTTTTTATTTGAGAAAGAGAGCAGGTGAGGGAGAGGGAATAAGAGTTGGGGCGGGGGGTGGAGAGACTCCCTGCTAAGCAGG